TATCTTCTGGTTGCATTTTCCTACCATTTGACAAGTATGACAAGATCGACAGTATTTTCAAACATCACTTTTAATTATTCGTCAATAGAAGTGATTCAAGATCTTGTGATAAGTCTTATTAATCCCTAAATGACCAGCCAGAGAGGTGGCATGGGCCAAACTAAACATTTCCTGTCTGCACAACTTTGGAACTACAGTTTGACATTTCATTGACAACAAGTCACAAGCAGGTTCCTCGGGAGGTCTCCATTTTCTCATAGGAATCCTATTTTTAATTAAATAACAGACAGATACTTCCGTGGCTTCGGTCTCACTAATGGCTCTCTAAAACAAACATGATATCTCAGGATATTGTCCTGTTTGACGACAAGTTATTGTCGTTTGTTACCCTGATTGGAAAAACAAGAATAAATAGTTAAAATATGACCACTGTGATCAATATCTTTAGACTGATCCAAACAAGGAGTGAAAGTGACCACATCAAAAGCCTGACCAAAACATGTGTTAGCTAAAGTAATAGTTTCCTTATCAAAATCATTCTCAAGATCATTCTTTGCCGTAGCTCTATTAACTGCACAAGCACAATATAAATCAGGAAATTCTTTTTCAATAGGATCAACGTTATAATTCAAAAATGTCTTGTCAGTCACAAGTGGGTTATCTGCAACCTTGTCTCCAGCTCGGTCGTTGCCTATTAACAAATGAATGCCCTGCACATGTAAAGAAGACACATTCCGACCGTCACACGTTCTGAAACGAAGTCTGACAAATGTACAGAATGGATAGCAACATTAACAAATCAGTATTCAACTCCCTGCATGAGAACGCTTTCATTAGAAGAAGACTTCTCCGAAAAAGGCAAAATACATGATAATAAAAGACTCTGAGAAGCTCCTGTATCCATTAAAATTGTAACAGGGGTACGATTAACCAAATCACCCAAGAGTAATATAAAACCCTTTGAAATGAATGGTACATAATTATCCATAGTAAAATCAGACTATTTATTAAACCAAACAAATGTATTGCTTTCAATACATGACCGTGATCGTGACATCTTAGAAATAAGAGCATTTGGGATACGTCTATCTTGATTTTGGTGCTTGAATATCACTTTTTGATTCAATCAGAAATAACGTCCTTTCTTCGTGCAATAGGTACACGTAGGAAGAGACAGGTATTTTTAATCAAGGTTATCAGAAGCTTGAGTTTTAGAAGCTGTCCAGATTGAGTTTTAAAAGGAGTCGTATTTGGCTGAAATACCTTTTAACCAGAGGACTGCTGAGTGAAAGACTTGTCTACAACAGGAACTTTATTATTTAAGGAGTCCTCGTCAGCAGCACGAGCAACATTTTCCAAGGTTTCAATCTTACGCTCGTAAAGATAAATTCAAATGTCAATATTGACACAGCTACTGAACTCTTCTACTAACATGAGTTGTCTGAGACTTTCGTAATCTTTAACGTGTCTTGAAGAGCATCTCCTATCAAATTGTTGTGCAAATTTGACAAAGATCTGGTCAGTCGATTTTCTAGAATTCCTGAAGTTTTGCCGATAAGCCTTAGAGACTAACGCATAACCCTTCAAGATACAGTCTTTAACCACATTATAGTCAGTACTTCGCGCTTTTGACAATGAAATGTAAATATTAAAAGCTCTACCAGTAAGAAATCATTGTAATAATAACGCTCAGTTCTCCTTTGGTCACTTCCATTTTTAGCAACATTTTCAAAGTAAGATAAATAGCTGTCTACTTCTTTTTTCCAGAAAAGGTAGCACAAACTTGATATTTGTGAAAGCATAAAAAGTAAAAGTATTTTTCTTGTGCATGCTCTAATTATTTTAACCGAATTTTAAATTCCCTTTCATCCTTCTCACCTTGCAGTTTCATTTGTCTATCTGCTTTTTCGTTCTCAAATTACATTTGTCTTTCTCTATCTCTTTTTTCAAATTAACTAACTTTCTACCCTTTTTCTTTCCATTTACATCTTTTCTCTATGAAACTGAACCTGTCTTCTGTCTTATCTCTGATTCCATCCGTTTTAGCTGGACTTCCATTTCCAAACTTTCCAAACAGTCCTGGGTAAAATTCAAACATAATTCTCTTCTTTTAATGATATTGTAAACAAAGCCTATTGATTTCAATAAAGATTTTTTTTAAACAAATATGAAATACTACTTGGGATTTAAAATATTCAGAAAAATAAATATCATTAAGTTTAAGAAACAACCCAAATATTTTCTGACATATTTTAGCCAAAATTCATATATCCCGGAGAAGCCCCTAGTTTTTTGTTACGTATTGTTTCGTTAAATAGTAAGAAAGAAAGCTTGTATATTTGAGCAAAATAATTTATTTCCCATGAAAACACAGTAAAAATATGAAAAAATACTTACGGTTTGTGAATCTAATCCAAACATTAATTCTGAAATCTAAAAATGTAAGTCGCATTACTAAGATTCCTAAATGAATCAAAGTTACAATGCCAGTGAACTTCCAAGATGAAGTACGATGACGTCGAATGAATGCAGTATTATACTGATGTGTCAACAGTTCCTTGTTGAATGTTAGGATTCAAGAATAATATTCCGGCTTTTGTATTATAAATAACTTCGAATGAATGTCTTTGTCTAAGATTTTATGTTCACACACGTAAATTTTCTAGGAAAACAAATTATCTGAAATAAAATAAACTCGATTCAAATGGCATCAAAAGCTATACCTCTCATCATGATAGTATAATTTACAACTGACTATAAAATCACTATAAGCTAAGGTTTAACCCAACTAAAAACGCAATTTCAGACTCACGTGATTGGTGACGTGATCTTCAGACATAGTAGTGATATGACTAAAAGATTGTTAAAGCTACGTTAAAAATCTAAATCACACATATAAATTACTCTGTCCGAACAGTGCAGTAGAAAAATATATCATTTATCTTGTACTCTAGTAAGCCTTAGCTACAATAAAATGTTGTTTATTAAGCTAATACGCATGCCAAGCATGACCTTGATTACGACGAATGGTTTTCACTGTATGTTTACGAATTTATAAACCAAGAAAAGATTTTCATTGCCATCAAATACTTCTCGAATTGAAATGTTTTATATTCTTTTAAATGCGATCTGAAATATTTTTTTAATTTACATAAAAATATATTGTATATGTATGTATGTATGTATGTATGTATGTATGTATGTATGTATGTATGTATGTATGTATGTATGTATGTATGTATGTATGTATGTATGTATGTATGTATGTATGTATGTATGTATGTATGTATGTATGTATGTATGTATGTATGTATGTATTCCTATGTGTGCTCTCCTTGATCACGCAGACCGTGGCCTTGGCAGATATGCTATGTACCAATGTGTTCTTTTTAAAAAATGAGATATTTGCATTTAGCTCAATGTATGCCAGAAACAAATTGTTTAATTACACTTTGTTTTCCTTTCTACACGAATTGTCTTTTTGTAACTTCATTTTTCAAATCCAAAAGTAATATAATAACACTTTAAAACAGTTGTATTTGTGAAATAAAAAGAGATATAATGATAATCGTTGGTTTTGTTTTCAAGATTACGCTTTTTATTTCAGTCTTGTTCACCACCTTTATGAATACTGTGTCAAATAATTTGCTATGGTAAACGTATAACTACTTATACCAAAAACGATTATAAATTTAGATTGCTTTATCTAACAAATGAATACACATTTAGGTGCTTTATCTCCCTAGCAGAAGGAGTACACATTTGGAGCGCCTTATCTCTGTACCAAAAAGATTATCTGTACCAAATCGAGTTCACATTTAGAATGATTCACCTCTGTACCAAAATGAGTGAACCGTTAGATTTGTTTCATTTCTGTAAATAGAACGAGCGCATATTTAGACTGCATTATATTGTACCAAAGCGAATACATATTCAAAGTGTTTTATCTCTATACTCAATCTTTTGTGCATTCATAGTGCTTTATGTGTGGCGGGCATATTTTTGAACAGTTCTGAGAAAGATGAAATTGGAATAGAAAATGATTTTCCATGATTGAATGCAGAGTTAGACCGTCAATTATAATGACATATACGCTAATTTACATAAAGAGTTTAATGATCCAAACAAAAGATGATGGATAATACGATACGTCTTGCATTATGCACGAATGTCAGACAAAACATTAAAAAAGAATTAATAATTGATGCTTCAAAAGGATATTTTCTTTGCAAAAAAGAACAATCAAAGAAAACCATAAAGTATTAGCGAGTTACAAGAAGAAAATCAAATTAATCAAACTTTTTGGATGACTTTGCAGTGTTGTTGCACGTACTTCATTTCAATAACCAAGTTCAACTTATTATTGATTCATGGAAAGACTTATAACAATCATCTAAAAAAAATATTCAATTTGACCACATAAGTGACAATAACAATATAATTTATTTAGTGTTCGAGATGAATACAAATACTAGAACTATTTGAAGATCAATTATCAGGGACTAGCAATATATTAAGTGACTTTTAATGTAGCCTTCATGATTTTAGAATTTGCAATGATGAGTTGAAAGTATGCATGGACATCATATGTTCGTAACAAAAAGTCAGAAGTTAGAAGCTGGCCCAGATTATGTATTTTACCAAACTAAAAGTCAAGATGAAATGACTGAATTGGATTATAGCATAACAATATATCTAAAAAATATTAAAAATGGTATCGATGCTATCTTATGCTTAAAACAATGGAATAATCCAGGAAATTTATTAGTTTCGGAAGTTAAAAAGTATGTTCAGACATGAATTTGACTACAATTGGGTTGCACAGGCTCTAGGAGATGAAAAGGTATTATTGTTGAATTTCAGACGTCGTAAAGACAATTTGATTCAGGGTTATAATTTAACCGTAAATCAATTACATAAGGCATGTATCTAAAGTAAATTTGATGCATCTCTTCGTTCAGATTTATATAACTATTTACTTTACCTATTCATCTACGAACCGCTGCGGTGGCCTGGTGGTTAGAGCGTCCGCCTCGGATGCGGGAGGTCGTGGGTTCGATCCCCGGTCGAGTCATACCAAAGACTTACAAAAATGGTACTAACATCTGCCTCGCTTGACGCTCAACATTAAGAGGATAGTGTTAGGACTGGTCGGCCGAATGTCTGGATAATGTGACTGGTTGTCTACATGTCTGCGGCATGATACCCCAGTGCTAGACATCACTATAAACTGCCACACTGCATACATCGTAGCGATATGACTGAAAAATTGTTAAAGCTACGTTAAAAAGTCACAAACACACCAAAACTCCTATCCATCTACAAAATGCGTTTAGCAGACTCCGTTGTTCGGCTTATAACTAACCTATAGATAGATGACTTTATGTGCTCAAAGACAAACAGAAGATGACTATCACTTTGTTTGACAATGCCATTTTATGAAAATCTTAGAAGAGTGTTATACCAGAAATTGTTTTTAAAAAGAAATACCCATCTGAAGAAATCTTTTCTCGACGACGTCAAAGAGCTTGCACAATACATCTTTTTAGCATTCCACAGTCGTGATGAAACGTACACGAAACAATATTATTTTAATGGATTTGATGTTGTCTCTACCTATATATCTTATGTCACGACTATGTAGTTATATGATGCAAGTTTTATGACATCTTCAACATATTTCGCTTTTTTTTCATTTTTCACCTCACTATTTATATTTTGGCACTCATTTTCACTCAGATAGAAGTTGGCATTCAGTTTCATTCAGATATAATCAAGGTATTAAAATTAATCTAAAAATACATCAAAACGAACGGGAAAATGTAGGAAGAAAAGAATACTCCAAATGAGTTTACTTGTGAGAATCCAGCATTCCTTTATTAATCTCCGATATGGGAAGTCAATTCAAATTGCTCATTTGTTTGCTGATTTCTATAATTCTCTTCTGCAATTCGTCTATGTTTTTTTGTCTTACTAACATAAGATTAGGCGATAATTATTTTATGTTGTCAATTGAGGCATTCCTTTCTTAACTATCTTTCTTATTAACATTTCTGTTTATAGAGGTATACATTAAACTTAAAGTGTTGGATCATAGCTAAAGATTTAACACTTTAATGTGTTTTGACAAATCTCAAAGGTGTGTTTTTGTTGAACTTGTCCCAAAACATCTTGTTACTATTAAGTTCCACATAAATCTCCAGAAAGCCAATTGTTTTGTTGTAGAGCATGGAGAGACACACTGCTGCCAAAACGTTGTACCTGCTATGGGTCGAGTAGTTAGTTTTGTAAAAAAAATTCTTTTATTCTTTTAACCTGTCTTTGTTTTATTTCATCAATCATGGCATTTATTTCTAATATTTGGTATGTATATTTATATGCTTAATTAAAGTTTTAAGGTATCTGTACTTCATTATATTTCTGATTTAACCGTTTAAATTCATCAATGTGAATGAAGGGACTGTATATCGTCTTAGGAGTCTATGATTATAAAATATGTAACAGAAAAGATTGGAAAGCATCAAGCTTTGTAAAATTCAACTAATCATTATTTTCCTAGATTACGAAGTTAAAAAAATGAACTTACGGTATTGCGAATTAAATCCAATCATAATCCTAGAATTGCAGACACCAGTCCTAAAAATTTAAAGTTCACAATGCACTTTAGTGTAAATCAGAACTAAGTCCAAAGCGGAAGGTGTATGTGATGTGTCTTGGCAGACTATTGTGTTGTTTAGCAAGTCTTTAGTTTAAACATACTAATATAATTCCAGGTCTGAATTCACTATAAACCCAGTAAATGCATCTATCCAAGAATATTTCTTTATGAGTAATCTGTATTTAAATATAACCTATCACTGAATTAAATAATCTGAAAATAAATTCAACTCCAAATGAACTTCTGGACACAGAAATAATAAACATTAATTCTTAAGCATGAACGAATACTCTTTCCAGTATTAAGATTGTATAGTATTTCACTTTACCTCACGTCACATTGAACATTTTGTACCATAATAAAATATTACCTAATAGAAAATATCCTTCCAATAAAGTTCTAATAATTTACAAGGAAAAATGTTAGTTGTAATTAGAAAGTCAGTTAGTAAGAATAAAATATATTACTTGAACTATATCAAGTTCGCCATGTAAATTGTATGAGAATTTTAATAATCTATAACAAGACCCAAATTAATATATTTATTTCTTTTAATGATGATCCCAATGTTAAACGAAAACTTACACAGATAATGTTTTGCTATGTATTAACTGTTTACAGAATATAATTTTTAAAACTTTAATGATTCAAGCAGAAAATAAACTTGAAAATGGACAAGTTTAATTCCAGCATACAATATTACATTACAATAGCATACAATAAAATAAAAAATTAAGCATAGATAACTAACACACTGGAAAAATGTTATTTTATTGCTTCAATCTAATAACTAATTTGTCAATAATTTCCTTTATATAAGACAGCTATTAGTATTTATTTCTCAATATATAATAATACATCTGACTTTTGTTGCAGCAAAATTCATTTTCAGTGTTAGTAAAGTTTATTAGCTTGATTTTTAACTTTGACACTTACATAAGTGACAGACAAATCGTTGATTTATCTCACAGATCAAATCTATATCTTTTTATTCTTCAATTTTGGTAATTTCGGGTAGTCCAGTTTTTTGGGGCCGTGAGAGAGTTTTACTAAGCGATTGTTCACTAAAACAAATTTTGAAAATATAGAGAATATCAGAGATGTGATAGTGCTTTCAAGAACTCCTTAAGTCATACACAATGTTTGGTACAGCCAACAAGAAGATCGATGATCAAAGCCAATCTCAAGATAACCCATCAGAGTTTAGACGGGTATCAAAGTAATCAATGTGCTTTTAATGAGGAAGAATTGTATAGCAAACCAGATCAGTGTGGGAAAATAAAGGAGGAGGATTTTGTAAGAAAAGTTAATGAATTTATTCCAAGGATGGTGTGCATTCTGGAAAACGTCAAGCAGTTGCGTTAAATTGGAACCTGATTAGCGTCCCGGTGAACTAGCCCATTAAATTTTGCTATCAAATCCGTCACGATCACCAATAAGCAAACAACAGGAGATATGTTATGTATACTTCAGCTTCATTTTGAAACTTTTTTATTCATCATATGCTATGGAGAACGGTATTTTGGGCTTGACTTTGTCTAAAATCAAGTGTATTTTCTACTTGACCAGAATCATTTATTTTGGTTTTATTAACAACATTTTTCTCAATCTGGGTCAAGAATATAGGAATTTTCTATAAATTGCAAGGTCACTGTGGCGCGGACCTGACTAAAAATATACTTGGTTGCTTTCTTCCAAGTTTAATATTTTGTAGATGTTGTTAAGGTTCTCCGGCGATTGAAAACATGGTCGGAAAATTTAAACTCTAAGTATATTTGTTTTTAGTGGTACATTTACATCATCCTAAAGGTATTAAAATGAATAAAGTATTATTCAAATTTAGAACAATCGCAGCGAAGAGGAACGGTCCATAGACAAGAAACTATACAGCCTCTCCAATACATGACTAATTCACCCTAACTGAATCTTTACAGTGCATATAATCTTTATATTATATATTTTTGTCCGACACCATGGTGAAAATATGCCCCATACAACCATGGTTTTGTCAGATACGGAAATCAGTACGACCAGTCTTATAGCATGTGAACAAAATCTTTGTAGATGGAGGCCATATCAGAGGAGAGGAATGCGAAGAAATTATATTTTTCTCGGGCCTCAACCCCTAAGGAGCCTCGAAACTCTGACAATAATAAATACATTTCATTTGGTATTTAACAGTCTTCAAAATATTTATATAGTAAATTATATGGGCATATTTTGGGATTCATTTACAAGTCTCAGTATAACCAGAAACTGTGGTTCTCAAACTCTTGACATGGCCTGGGCCTCTTGCATCTGCTGAAGAAAAAGTTAGTCATCGACTGTCTTCACTGACAAGAAATTAGTTGACTGGTGATCAGTCAAGTCCCTGGTAAAGAATTGGAACCTCCGTGACCAATCATATCTACAGAGGGCACAATTAATATTAGTATGCTGTCACACTCCGTATTTATTATATATTCCCATAAACCCTTATTAACAGTGAAACAGAGTTCAAGCCCCTATAAATACGCTAAGACCGCTAGTATTACGGCATCAAAAGAACTCGTTTCGAAATCTTAGCAAATAAACCTGAAGATTTAAACTCCATGGGGCCAGGCATACTAACAACATATATTTTGAGACACACAGAAAAAAACAGTGTTATGGTAACTTGCTCAAGATTTGCTTATTGTTGTGAAAACTAATAATGTATATAAAAGACGATTTGAATATATAAGTTTGATCGAGTTTCCACTTTTTTCTATATAAAATAGTTGTAGTTCCTTTATTCTCTTTATGTATTAGACTCCTACTCCTCTCCCTTCAGGCATATAATTGTGTTGGGCTAATTTCTTTGCCTTTGGCACACTATGGTATTTAAGTTTAGCTTTATGACATTTGTATCGACATTCAGCATTTTACTGTCTTCGTGATGAACGTTTACTACTTCACGGTCTCTTTATCCTTTTTTCGTTTTAGTAAGATAGGCCTAACTGTGTCAAAGTCTCGAGTTATGTTTCCTATTCAACGTGAAATTTGGAAAAGAGAAGATCTTTTTGGATAAAACAACAGTAAATAATGTGTCATGACGACATTGTGTTTGTTTTTTGTATCTTTGTACCGTCTCTATATTTATGTGTATAGGTGTTGTATTTGGTTGTGATACGTGGATAAATCATCCGTGTCGCTGTCTTGCTTGAGTTGTGCAATGTACAGAAAGCGTGGACGTTATAGAAAATTATTATTGAGTTGCTTTCTTCCAAACTTAAGAATTCGTAGAGGTCCTTAAAATGTATTCCATAAGTATATATGTGGCTAGTGCTACATTTATCAATGCAAACAATTTCTATGACATTGGTATTTCTAAGCATGCTAGTTTTTCGGGGTCAACAAGGCACCATGAAAGTGGCAGTATACATATCCGTGTTGCT